ATGGGCAGAGAGAGAAGGGGGGGGGGGCAGAGGACACTGGCCGCCACCCACCCAGCTGCAACGTCATGTTGTTGATGCTGCTGCTGTTCGGTTTCCGTTATAACCCAAACGCGCCGGATTATAAAGAACGCACCGGAGGCCGGCGGCGCGCCAAGCCGGTCAGCTGACCGGCGGAGGTGGTGGGAGGGGGCGGGGAGTCGGGGGAGAAAGGGACACACACGTACACTGTCGCACTCACCCGGGCCGGCGCTGACTAGAGTCCGGACCAGCAGGGACCACCCAGACCCGCCCGGTTTATCACTACGGAGCGGGACTCTGACTGACAGAGACCCGTTGCTCAAGACCTCTCTCCCCCCTTCTCCCGCGCCATCTTTCGCCGTCCTCTCCCGTCCACGCCCTCTCCATCTTGCTGCTCGCCTTTCTTCTCCGCCCCCAAGGCTACTGTTAGTTTCTACGTGACCTACTGGCCATCCCCCAGCCGGACGCCTGCCGAGCCGAGGATAGTCCACCCGCTCGACCGCGCTGCGCTGCACAACTCGATGTTGCCTGACTACCAGGCGTCGTCGCCTCCCGCCTCCTGCCTTGGCCAGCTTCATCTTTTCTCTATTCGCCCCCTAAATTGTAAATTTGGTAAATGTCACCCGTGCTCACTCTTTGTTCTGATTAAGCTTTGCTTTGTTCGAGTGGGTCCCGCCCCGCCCTGTGAGTATAGTCGCTCGGCTCACCGCGACAACAGCAGTTTTTGTTGTGCAACGTGTCGATGGCTCATCGCTGATTGCCGGCGGTGCGTGCCTGACGTGCCATGACTGCTCGCGCTCGGACCCGACGTGCAGGCGTGCCACTGACTCAAGTCATTGACAAACTATTCGGCAACCCCCCGGTCCAAAAGTCGCTTGAAGACACATCCACGGCGGGAATGGCCAAAAGGCGCGACTCATGCACCGGAACCCATGGTGTCCCGTTAATGACTGATACCAGCATACCGCCCCGTCGCGACTTAAGAACAACCAACTTCATCCGAAATTTCAACTTAAATTCCGAAGGCAGCAGGGAGCCCGTCCTCGTGCGACCAGTTCGTCTTGTAGATGAGGGTAGTGAGTCCTCGAGGCCCCTTTGCGGCTATGCCAGACTCTGGCAGGCTTCGCACAGCCCGGAGCTGACCACAGACGCCGGCCAGGCCGCGCGCCAAGGCCCCTGCTCACCATTCGTGCTCACAATTCGTGCCCCCTCTCTGTCTCTCCTTCTAGACGGAGTGCAGCGAGGCGGTGACGGTCCCGGACGACGAGCCACAGGAGCAGAGCGACGCCCGGTGAGTACTGCCACTTACTTGTGAAAACCTTACAACCTACACATAAAGCAACGCCACGAGCAGGGTTGTTGAACGAGTCGTGTCACTGCAGGACTCGCAGCTTCGTGATCGGCTACGAGCAGGACGCGTTCCTCAAGGATGGGGAGCCCTTCCAGATCCTGGGTGGGTCGCTGCACTACTTCCGGGTGCCGAGGGCCTACTGGCGGGACCGCCTGCGGAAGATGCGGCTCGCCGGGCTCAACACGGTCGCCACGTGAGTGCGAGAGAGAGAGAGAGAGAGAGAGAGAGAGAGAGAGAGAGAGAGAGAGAGACAGACAGAGCGTTATATATCGCTGGCACAACCCTCTGCTGAGGTCGTCGACGGGCGCCTGCGGTCCGCGAGGTAGGCCCCCACTCGTACACCAGAGCGGTGGCCTGGAGGGGGCGGCCTATCGCCCGGGCTGCACGCGTCAGCGCGAGAGAATCAGCTAACAACACCGTGGTTATTATATTCGTCGTCGTCGTTGCTTTTTAGCAGACGATACTGTACCTTACAACATCGCAATTTTTAAACTTTTGTTAACCATCCGCAGGTACGTGGAGTGGAGCCTGCACGAGCCCGTCCCCGGCCGGTACGACATGATGGGGGAGCAGAACCTGATGCACTTCATCCAGGTGGCCGAGGAGGAGGGGCTGCTCGTCAACCTGAGGGTCGGGCCGTACATCTGCGCCGAGCGCGACATGGGCGGCCTGCCCCCGTGGCTGCTCTCCATCAAGCCGGACATGAAGCTGAGGACCCGTGACCCAGGTGAGCGCTCCCGCTCCCGCTCCCGCTCCCGCTCCCGCTCCCGCTCCCGCTCCCGCTCCCGCTCCCGCTCCCGCTCCTGCTCCCGCTCCCGCTCCCGCTCCCGCTCCTGCTCCCGCTCCCGCTCCCGCTCCCGCTCCCGCTCCCGCTCCTGCTCCCGCTCCTGCTCCCGCTCCCGCTCCCGCTCCCGCTCCCGCTCCCGCTCCCGCTCCCGCTCCCGCTCCCGCTCCCGCTCCCGCTCCCGCTCCCGCTCCCGCTCCCGCTCCCGCTCCAGCTCCCGCCTCCGCTCCCGCTCCCGCTCCCGCTCCCGCCCGCCTCCTGTGTCGCCCGCCTGTCGCGACACATAGCGAATCCCTCTCACTCACACCCCTGCCCCCTGCCCGCCCAGTGTTCCAGCACTACGTGAGGCGATGGCTGGACGTGCTGATGCCGCTCGTGCGACCCCGACTCTACGGCAACGGCGGGCCCGTCATCCTGGTGCAGGTCGAGAACGAGTACGGCAGCTACCCGGCCTGCGACCGCCAGTACCTCACGTGGCTTCGAGACCAATTCCGGGGGCACGTCCGCGACGCCGCGGTCCTCTACACGACCGACGGCGCTGGTGACGGCTACCTCAAGTGCGGCAAGATCCCGGGCGTCTACGCCACGGTAGACTTCGGCGCACAGAGTGACCCGGTGACCGCCTTCGCCACCCAGCGGAAGGTAACGACATTGTGGCTCAACCAAACGCAACCTCATCGTGCTTTGTTTCGAATAAGTTTGTCATGTCCTCTCGGTCGTTCGACCTGTCTACAGGTGGAGCCTCGCGGCCCGCTCATGAACTCGGAGTACTACCCGGGCTGGCTGACGCACTGGAACGAGAAGGAGCAGAAGGTGGCCGCTGCTGACGTGGTTCGCAACCTTCGTTGGTTCCTTGAGAACCGCGCCAACTTCAACTTCTACGTCTTCATGGGCGGCACCAACTTTGGTTTCACGGCGGGCGCCAACTTCGGCAAAGACTACAGTCCGCAGCTCACCTCTTACGACTACGACGCGCCCCTCAGCGAGGCCGGGGACCCCACTCCCAAGTACCTCGCCATCCGGCAGGCCATCGCCGAGGTGAGCGGAGGGCGTCGCATCGATGTCACCGAGGTTGAGCCGATGTCAGTGATGTCACACTGGAGTCATTCTTACGGGTGTCCACAGTTCACAGGCAAGACCCACGGCCGCGCCCCCACGCCGGCGCGCAAGCTCGACTACGACATCCCCATCCTGCTCGAGAGGGTGGCCGACATGCAGTCGCTTGCCGCCGGGCCCGCCGTGTCCTCGACCTTCCCCCCGGACTTCGAGCAGCTGTACCAGAACTACGGCTACATCCTGTACGAGACGCGTATCCCGACCAACTACGTGCCGAAGAGAGGCAAGAAGCCCCTCTTCATGGCGCCCAAGATCCGGGACAGAGGCGTCGTCTTCCTCGACCAGGTAAGTGGCTTCTCCTCGCGAGGTAGGCAATCCAACGTACGCCAGGGCTCCCCCCTTGACGAGGACAAGCAGTGCGCGGGAGCCGAAGGCGCGGCGTTTCCTCGGCAACAGCCCTTTTTCCTGTTTGACGGTGGCGGCCTCAGCCCGCCCGCGCTCCGGCCCGGGTACGACATGGCGGGCCTGTGAGTGGGGTTGGGCCGGGGGCGGGGTCGAGCCGTGTTGCGGACACGGCTGTTCACTAAGACGACCTCCTTGTCTAGGCCCGGCAAGGCGTGCTCTGCCGCGCCAAGCCCCAGCGCACGGGGCTGCCGCTGTCCGCGGCCGCGCCGGGGCAGCTCCTGTCCGTGCTCGTGGAGAACCAGGGCCGGATCAACTACGGCGGCCGCCTCAACGACACCAAGGGCCTCGGCAACGTCACCCTGGACGGGCTGCCGCTCCGGGGATGGAGCATGACGCAGCTGCCGCTCGACAATCGCACGAAGATCGAGTCGCTGACCAGGCGAGCGGGCCGGCGGGCGCTCCGGAGGCTGCACGCCAACGCGAGCCTGCCCAGGGACCCCAAACGCGACGTGCCCGGCGTCTACCTGGGACGCTTCGTCCTCCCGCCGACGGCCGACGACGTCAACCTCTGGGAGGGCGGCGCCGACGGTCAGCGGCGAGGCGTCTTTGACGACCGTGACGAAGGCCCGCCACTGCCCGACGCGTTTGTCGATACCACCGGCTGGGGCAAGGTGAGCACCGGTAGCACGACGGGAAGGCCTCACTGCTGGAGGTGACTACTTATCGGCGGAAATTTCAACCCACCGTTATCGGTTTCAGGGCGTGGTCTTCATCAATGGTTTCAACCTGGGGCGTTACTGGCCGTCCGCCGGGCCGCAGGTGACTCTGTACCTGCCGGGGTACCTGCTGCACCGCCACCCCACGCCCAACCACCTGGTCGTGGTGGAGACGGACCGCGCCCCCGAGATCCCCACGCTGCAGCTGGTGCAGCAGCCCGTGCTCAACGCCCCCATCTGCGCGCCCACCGCGGGTGGCACAGCCGTCGCCCCGGCAGGAGCCCCCGCCGCCGCGGCCGCGAGGCACTCGTGCTGCTGAGCGGAGGGCGCCATGGCGACGCCGCCCAGGTTGTAAACGACGAGAGGTAGAGCGAAAGAGGCAGACATGAATGACATGACTTGTTGGACAGCGAGGCGCGCCCCCCTGTGCCGCCGGCTGCACCTCCGGCGGGGGCGGGCGCGTCACTGGGCGTGGCACCGGGCGCCGTGATGCCTGCGTCGCCGCCGGCGGCCAGCAGGAAGCCGTACCAGATGCGCTTCCGCACGCGTCCGCGCTGGACGTGGTGCGACGTGCGGCGCCGGGAGGAGGACCAGGACCGCGCCCTGCAGCGCGGCCGGGGGGCGCAACCCAGAACGCAGCCCCAAGACCCGCGCGTCCTCAGGTGCGAGGGCCGCACGCCTGTCTGCCTGCGCTCGTGACCGCCGCGCCGCCGCGCTGACGCCTGCATCCTGGCTCCAGGCCCACGCACCCATACGGCGGCGTGCCTCGACGCAGCCTTCTGTCGGGGGCGGGCCGCGGGGGCGGCGGGGGTGGCTTCCACTGGTGGCGGATGGTCCCTGCCCCCGCCCCAGCCCCCGCATGCAGGCCCACGCTGCGGCCCGCGGGTATCGAGTCGTGCGCCCCGGGCTCCTCGGGGAGGTACTCGGGGTCGCGCGTCCGCCCGGTCCCCGCCCCCCAGCGGCCGGCGGGGCTCCCCAGCTGCCGCCCCCCACGCGTCCGCCCCCGCCCGCCTCCGGGGGGCTCCATCTCGGGGGTGGCGGCCAGCGTGGGGGCGGGCTCCGGCGCGCTCGTGGTGGACCACGCGGTCTGCGCCTCCAAGCACCGCCTGGCGGAGCGGCGCGCCGCCCCCACTCGCCCGCCTTTCGTACCCGCGGGCATCCTGCACCGGCGGGCGCTGCCGGGCTCCCTGCCCAGCTTTGACATGTTCTACGGCCGCC